TAAGTATCTGAAGTGACACTTGTAGTTTGTCCTTTTTCCACTTGCGCTCAGCCCTGCGACACTCACGCCTGGCAGCACGGGACTCTTCATTTAACCAGGGCTCAAGCCTAGTCTTGGGGCGCCTGGTCTTCAATGGTGCCACCGCATCGATGGCGGCCTGACAGGTAGAGTGAAGGTGTAATGCGAGCTCTTCTGTATCCGTAGAATCAGGAATAATGAGGTTTCCATTAATAAAGTCAGAGAATTGGACACTAAGGTGCTGTTTACACAGATACAGTTTCACCCGATAACACTTTTTTGCCATTTTGGCTTTTCGTTTACACAGCAACAGTGTTTTTGGGCTATGAAAAAGCAAAAGTTTGAAATTGGGTTCCAGAGTGGAAAAGTTTGATAACAACACTGTGTTAGCATGCATTTGTTTCCCCTGACAAGAGTGACCTCTTGGGCATGCCCATTAGGGTTTATGTACATAGCAGTGCATTGACTAAAACATTTGTGTGCAGGCATTAAAAGATACCACCAACTACTGGCCTGGCAGGCACACTACATTGTTTTTCCAGAGCTGTGTAAGTGGAGATTGTTTTGAAGGCGTCATGTAAATGCTGATCGTAATCACCACCACCTCTCCTCTCTGATGGCTGACACAAAAGTAATTAAGATGAAATAGATTCTGGTATTTGGAACAGGTTATGAGCATATATTCAGATGTGAAATTGAATGGGAGGAAAAAGCTTTTAAAAAACCCCAGGTAAAACAAAGTGAACACCCAGATATAAAATCATCTTCTTGTGCAAAAAGTGATAGACAAAATATTCAGACTAAAATGAAGTCTCCTCTGATAAGTTTGTTTTTAAAACTTTTGTTTCACATCTACATGAAATATTTGTACTTTTACTGAGCATACTGTAAACAGGTGTGTACTTTTAGGTCTACTACTTTGACTATAACTGAGAATGTTCATGTACTTTCTGTAACTAGAGAAATGCATTTCGAAAATGCGTGTGGATGCTTGCTGAAGGATCGCCCTGAAAATGCTAAACATTTTGACACCTGAAAGGTATATCTACCTGAAAGTATGCTGAAGTAGAAGTTTCCCATTCATTTGAATGGGGGAAGATTTTCAAAATAAAGCTGAATATTTAAAATATATGAAGTTTAGAAAACTTCTGAATAGTAGTATGAATGTCCTTGAAGAGCGGAACATTTTGATAGCTGAAAGTATGCTGAAGTAGAAGTTTCCCATTCATTTGAATGGGGGAAGATTTTCAAAATAAAGCTGAATATTTAAAATATATGAAGTTTAGAAAACTTCTGAATAGTAGTATGAATGTCCTTG